CAAGAGAGTCCACATTTTGAAATAGCAGAGGACCAGGGCACACAGGATCCAGAGAAACAGTTGAAGGAAAATGCTACAAGGGTACTTGTGAGGGGTGAGGTTTGGCATCTCAGTTTTCTCTGTGAAGGAGAGTTGAGATTTTCATATGAGAGAGAGTGTGAAGGCAGCTGGGTGGGAGGTTGGAGGAGTGCTGTAGCATTTTAGAATTGAACCTGAAGGGCATGGAGAGGGAGCTACCAGAGATGAGTACAAAAGACCTGCCCGTCTTATGAAGTAAGAGCAGAGGCTGTTTGGAGACCCATCTCCACATGGCCCAGCCAGTTTCCCTGTCCCCATCTCTGCTCACCAGGATTGCAAATGCAGGTAAGACAGTTGTGAGGTTGGCCTTGGGTTTTTTAGCTGGGGCAGTAGGAGGGAGGGAGCTGGAGCATTGAAGTAGTCCCTGCTCAGCTGAGGAGGACAGGAGAGGGAAGCCAACATCAGGTGGTTGAGGAGCAGTGACAGGGGCTAAGGACAGCCAGGGTTTCTCTCTTCCGGGGGTGGGGGGTGGGGGTGGGGCTTCTCTTCCAGCCATGCATGGTTTCTGCACTTGTCACCCTGGCTCATGTCTCCAGCTTCCATGGAGGGCCTCACACAGCCCACATGCTGCACCAGGGTCCAGGCAGGTTTCTACCTGATGGAAACGGGCATGTATTTGAGAAAGGGGCTCTCAAGTGGCTGTCCACCTCTCCAGCCCTCCTGAAGGGATGTTGCTGGGCAGGGGACCCCTGCGAGTCAGGCCCCATTTATGAGAGGCTGTGGTGTGCCAGACCACAAGTGTGCTTGTAACCTCTTAATTCCTTCTCTTTTGAGAGACAGAAGCCTAACCACCTATTTACAAAACTCTGTTGACACCAAAACTGTTTTCTTTGCAGTCCGTCTGATTTCTGCCTCCAGATCTGGTGAAAAGTTTATTAAAAGGACTGTACCTTAAAAATTAAATATAATTATACTACCCCAAAAGCTTTTGTGTTTTGCTTCTTCGTGAGCACTTAGGTTCTTTGGCATCTCACCACTGCAGCATGAATTGTAGAGCAGTTTGGATAACTGGGCAGCCACTGGATGTACTGGTCGTTTTTAGGAGCAGTGGCTAAAACAGTTTACATTATACTTAAAACACTAATAGCCTATGAAATTTTTATGTAAAGATGTTTAAGTAGAAGTCTACCAGGTATTTCATAAAATGTTTTATGTGATTCAGTAAAACAGCAAATTAAAAAATCAAGGGTCATCCGTTTCCTGAGCAAAAGACAGTTTGTTTGCAGCCTGAAGGGGTCTGCTGTGTGTCAGGTGCTGGGTCCAAGCCTGGGGCAAGACCCCTGTCCTTGTTCTTGAGGTTCTCCAGTCCGGAGGAAGAAGGAGGCACCTGAAGCCAGTTAGGACATAGTGTGGTCAGCAGTGTGGAAGTGTCATGGAGGAAGGATGGAGTGAGTGGCTGGCTGGCTGGGACTGCCCCTCACCCTCTGAGTGAACAGGGGAGGTGAACAAATCACAGTGTGTTCTCTGGGGGAGATTGGATAAGCTCTTTAGAGATGGAGATCAACCAAATCTGGGAGAATGTACCAAAGTTTGCCAGAGGCAAAACTTCCAGAAAAGTGTTCCAGAAAGAGGGAACAACATGTGCAAGAGCCTGAGCAGTGCAAAGGCAGGGCAGGTGTAGGACCTGCAGTGGAAAGGTCTGTGCTGCTGGCGATATGGGTATTAGAAGGGAGCGTCTGGGCACAAGTCTGAACAGCAGGCTAAGCCTGGTGACGCAGGAGCTTGGACACCATGAGCTGACTTTATTGAGCATCTTCAATATTGTTTTTCTACTGAGAAAACCGAGACCTGGAATTGTACTAACTTGCCCAGATCACACAGGAAGGGCTGGGCCAGGATGAGACCCCAGGCCTCAGGTGTCCCAGCCTGCCTTCTCTTCCTGCTCAGGGTTGTTGATACACCTGCACAGCCCTCAACTGCATAATAGACTTTAGACTTTGTTTTGGATTTTGTTTCTTTAATGGTGAAGCTCTTTTTGCAAATAACATATTAATCCCAAACTTAAAGGTATAAAAACAGAGCATGATTCATGAGCATAATTGCATTAGCATAAGTTTATTTCATATCGAAGTGTATAACACAAGATCCGTTATGAAAACACTGGCTTTCTTTTTTCTTAAATTTATATGTATGCATATATTTTAGTTGTCAGTGGACCTTTATTTTACTTATTTATTTACATGTGGTAATGAGAATCAAACCCAATGCCCCACATATACCAGCCAAGTTCTCTACCACTGAGCCACAACTACAGCCCTGGCTTTCTTTTTAATAACCTCTTTTAATTTAGAATACTTTTAGATGTACGGGAATGTTGTCAAGACAGGACAAGAGTCTCAGATGACAATGCTGCCCCCATTGTTAACACCTGCACTGCCAGCCACGAGTCAGGACCAGGGAACTGACATTGCAACATTACTGTGAACTCACTCTGTACTTCATTTGGATTTGAGTGATTTTCCCTCACTGTTTTTGTTTTGTGTTTTATTTTCATTATTCCAGGATCCAGTCCCACCCCAAGTTGTAATAACTTTCTTTTAACAAAAACTTAAAACATGATGTTAGGAATTAGGTTACATTATCCAATGCTCAGTTTTGCATCTTAAAGTAAGATACTGCCTTGAACTACACTATGCTATCTTTAAAAAATGATATTAAAAGATATTAAGCCCTGTACTAATATCATAGCAGCAAGCACACTGGCATTGCAGCCAGTTTCCAAAATATATTTGGTGTCATGATCTGATAATGCAGCCCAGAGAAGAATACAGGAGTGCACACCCAGAAAACTTGACTTAGTCTGTCTCAGGCTCCATAACAATATACCCAGACTACATGGCTTCAACAGTGGACATTTATTTTTCAGTTTTGAAGTCTATGAGTCCCAGATGAAGGTGCTGGCCAATTTGGTTCCTGGTGAGAGCTCTCTTCCTGGCTTGACTATGGCTGTGTCCTCACATGGCCTCATTTCTGTACCCACTTGAAGAGATCAAATGTGTGTATTCTCTCTCCCTTTTTCTTCTTATAAAGTCACGAATCCTATGGAGCTGGGCCCCACCCTTAGGACTTCATTTCATCTTAATTGATCTCCTAAAGATCCTATATCCAAGTACTGTCAAATTGGTGGTTGGGGCTTCAACATATGTTTGGGGTTAAGGTGGTGGGGACAGTTCAGTTCATAGCATAATTCAAAGGCTGAAAATTATGTGAGATCTTTATAATCTAACCATGAAATAGTATGAAGTTGAGACCTTCCCATTTTATACAGTATGTTGATAAAGGTAAAGATATACTATGCTGTAAAACACTTGACACCACGAGAAAGTATTCAATATTAAGATCCAATTTAATGCACTATTAAACAAGTTAGCAAAGAAAATATAGTTTTATTGGAACTGTGCAAAAGCAAGGGCAAGAAAAACATTTCAAAAGTAGTTGCCCATGAGAGCATTGCCAAAAGTTTTCAGGTCCTCATCAGATTTAACAATAGATGTTTAAAAGTAGTGTCCTTTAAAATAATGCCAAACAACTATTAATTAGATGTTACTGATGTGGGCCATGAGTTCTAGAATTTACTTTTCCATACCAAAGATGTTTAGTGTACTGAAGCAGGGTGTGGTACAGATACTTCACATAGAATAAGAAACCACTGAGGCTGGTTTTGTTATTACCACTCAAGAAGTCAGCTGGATTTACCCCTAGTACTGCATAATGGCCCCTCCTGCCTGTTCCTTCTTGGTTGGTCAGCACAGGCCCTCAACACAGCACATGGAGCAAGCAGATCTTCAGTGAATGTGGAGAGAAGTAACTGGTGATTGATTCCATCTGAAGTAGGAAAATGTGGGAGAGAGAGCAAGCAAATTTGAAGGCAGGAGGGAGAGAGTGGGAAGTTTCTTCAGGAGGTACAGGTATAGTCTCATTTTATCTTTGGAATTACAGAGAAACAGTAATATTACAGAGAAACAGTAGTATTCTGGAGCAGCTAGAAATCATCATTGGAAAGTAAAAAGTTTAATTAAAAAGGATACCATCAAATCATCCTATTATGGGATTGAAAGATAAATGGGAAGAAATCACTTAGGCGTTAAAACTGCAAAATGGATGACTGGCTGACCAAGGTTCATCTAGGGAACTGCACTTAAGAACTTTTCTGCTTTATTGCAATAGTGACATTTTCTTATTCTGTTAATGTTCCAACATATAATTTGGTAAATTGTGTTATATGCAATTACTAAATCAGGGAGTAGCTTGATTTTACTCTGGTGATGCTGTGAAGACTTTGTCTTGAGGCTTTGGGTTCTTAAGTATATTGCTCAACCAGAACAGTTATAGCCACAAGCTACAGTCATTCTTGAGTGTAGAGCTTTACCTTTAAGGTAGCTGACCCTGCTATCCATGGGGACTCGTTCCCGGGACTCCTGTGGATACCAGAACCCAATGATGCTCCAAACCCTTTTATAGAATGATATGGTATTTGCATGTAATTCACAATCCTCCTGAATATTTTAAATCATCTCTGGATTGCTTATAAACCGTAATACAATGTCAGTGATATGTAAATAGTTGTTATGTTGTGTTGTTTAGTGATGATGGCAAGAAAAAGTCTGTACATGTTCAGTAGAGATGCAATTTCTAAAATATATTTTCCATCCAAGGTTTGTTGAACCCATGGATGAAGAACCAGAGGGCAGAGTGTGGATAGCAAAGGGTAGCTCTTTTCTCATGGCTACGGTGTCTCTTTTAGCTTCTGTAAGCAACTCTTTCCACTTTCCTGGATTATATTTCCTTGACACTGGAGGCTCCTGGAAGAGCCTGAGACAGTGTGGTCTTTCCTCAGAATCTTATGGGAACAGAAACACCTGAGAACTCAACCTGGTCACTAAAAGGGCTGAAAGGTGCTTACAGCTATCCTCTGTTCACAGGTGGTCCCCATGCTTCCCAGGCTGCTATGTGAGGAGCTGTGTAGCCTCAACCCCATGACGGACAAGCTGACCTTCTCTGTGATCTGGACGCTGACCCCCGAGGGCAAGGTAACAACTTACATCTTGCCATTCATTCTCTGCTTACCAGCATCCCATACTGAGTGGTGGGAATCACCTGCGGTGTGCCTGGTGCTGGGCTGTGGTGCTGCTGTGGAAGGGTGGTGAGAAGGAAATGTGAGGGCTCTGGCCTCAACGGACTGTCAGCCCCACCTGGGAGGCAGGAGCTGATTTTTGCCCAAGACTAAGTGGGTTTCAGTGAGGTTGGGTATGCACTGGGAGGCAGGTGGCCCCACTGCAGGAAGGGAGCAGGGCCTGGGGGAGGAGGGCATTAATGAATGGGGAGAGTTTGCAAAGATGTGCAACATCAAACTAGGGAAAGTCTGAAATGGCAGTCACAGATGAATTGCGGCTGCTAGGACTCATAATGTTTCATGAGGAATGTGGTATTTCAAAAGATGAGTGCTGCATCAGGGTGCAGGGTGACTGGAGGTGTGTAGGCCAGGCAGCAAGGTAGCACTGTGTCAAGACACAGGGTACGAAACCCCGGGGCACTGTGGAACATCAGCAAGCATGTCCCAGACGTGGGGAAGAAGGGAGCTGGTAAAGAAAGATGAAAAAAAAGCAGTTTCTTCCCCCAGAACAACAGCTCTGCACATCCAGAATAGGGTAATGATAAATAAACTATGGTGCCTAATCTGGAATGTTATACAGTTACTAAAGCTGATTACAAAGACCATGGAAGAACATGGCAAATGTTTATGCTGTAATATTTAATAGAAGTTTTTAAAAAAGGTAATTATTATTAAGAGACTCCAAATGAAGATGGAAGATCGAATACCCACATTTACTTTCATTCCCTCCCAAACCTCACTAAAACAACAATAAAGAGAATTTTTTTTTGAAGACATAAACCCACAAGGACAAAGAGAGTGGGAGAGGAGACAACAGCAACAAAATTTTGGAAGCTGGGTAGCAGATGGATGAGTGGTAACTGACTTAGCAGTCCTGAGAAAGTTGATTCCTGAGCCAGCAACAGAGGAAGCCAAAAACAAAAACAAAAAAATCCAGAAATTGACAGCACTAGATAACTCTGGAAGGTGGGGAGGGGTGGGTGAATATGAGGCTGCAACAGTATCAGTTGCAAGTTTATTTTAAAAAAGATTAGTTCCCATGTTCTACACAGAAGACCAGAAATTTATTCTCTGGACAGGACAGAGGAAGGTGTCTGAACTGAGGCACAGTGACACACTCAGTGCTGCTGGGCCTAGGGATTGAGTGAATGTTGGCATACTGAAAGTTCTTTCCACCAACTCCAGAGTTCTGGGGGCCAGGCCTGCACCCATGAGTTAGGAGATGGAAACATCTTTCTCTGAAGAGTCTGAGTAGTAAATAATAAAGGCATACTAATAACCTTAAGGGTTTCCCAAGGAGCAGCCCAGCTCTCTTCTGCAGTAAAGCTCACAGACAGTGAGCCCCACTGCCCTATCACAGTTTTTTTAGTATTTCACTTTCATGTCTGAAGGGACAACCAAGAGGAGAGTGTCTAATATTACATAGAAAGGTAAAGTAATCTAATAAAGAAAAGCAACTAGGACAAAACACACTAACAAGGAAAAAAAATGATATCTTTATAGAATTTTTTAAAGGGAGTTATCTATATCACAAGATAGAAGAAATGAAAAAGATTCAAGATTCCAGTTGGAAGTGAAGTTGAAGAATTATCCCAGAAAGAGATAGAAATGATAAGAAAATTAGAGGACCAGTCCAAGGTATCCAGCATCTGCTCAACGAGTATACTAGAAATAGCAAAGAGATCAGAAGGAAAGAAATGATCAACAGGCATGTAAAAACATGGAACCATGAATCCCACCATTATGTATACCATAATATACCAATTAAACAAATATGGGGGTGGGGTGGGCAAAATCATTCTAGGAAATGCTCTGTTTCTGGAAGACATGATTCCAGATTGGAAGAGCTCGCTGCCAGCATAGTGGTGGAAACATGTCTCCAAGACACACCAAGACACACCACCAGAGAATTCTAGAACCCTGGAGACAAAGAATAAGATGCAGGAGGGGATCATCTACAGTAGATCAGAAACCAGAATAACTAGTACTTTTCTACCACAACTCTAGAAGCCACGTGACAGTGAAGAAAACCTCCATGTCTGAAAGTCTGTGATTTCCATATCAAAGTTTTGTACCTAGCTTTCAGTAAACTGCAAGAGTAGGAGAGGACATTTTGAGACAAAAAGTACTTCTGGTACACTGTTTCTCAGAAAGCTGCCAGAGAATAGGCTTCACCAGAATGAAGGAGTAAATCAAAAAAGAGAAAGAATCGGGCGTAGTGGTGCACACCTATAATCCCAGCACCTCAGGGGGCTGAGGCAGAGGATTGGAGTTCCAAGCCAGCCACAGCAAAAGCAAGGTGCTAAGCCAATCAGTGAGACCCACCCCCCCCACCCCACCCTGTCTCTAAATAAAATACAAATAGGGCTGGGGATGTGGCTCAGTGGTTGCGTTCAACCCCCAATACCCCGCCCCCACAAAAAAGAAAGAAAAAGATATTGGACATAGGAAACATAAATCAGCACAGGGAAGAACGGAAGGAATCACCTGGATCAGGGTTTAAGACACTTCCTATAAAGGCCCAAATGGTGAATATCTCTGATTTTACAAGCCACCTTCTCGGTCATAGCTATGAAACTCTCACACTCTAGCAGGGGAGCAGATGATAGGTAAATGAAACAGCTTGGCTCTGTGCCAGTAAAACTTTATTTAAATTCAGTTGGCAGGTTGGATTTAACCCACAGGACCATAATTTGGTGATTGATACCCAAACAGCAATACCCAAACCCCTCAGTGCTTTTGGACTATCTGTGTAATATCAATACATGGGACAAGCCATGCAGTGCCTTAGTGTTGTTATGAAACCAGTTTTGACCTCATGGACCCCTGAAAGGTCTCAGAGATCCCCAAGAAAGAATCTGTGGAACTTAGCAACTTAGCAAGGCCCTAAGCAATCCAGGAAGACCCTGTCTCTAAATAAAATATAAAAAGGGCTGGGGATGTGGTGGCCCAGTGGTTAAGTGCCCCTGTGTTCAATCCCAGGCACCAAAAAAAAAAAAAAAAGCGGTTACCATGGGGAGGGACAGACGAGAGGGGAACAGAAGGTTACTGTCTTTCATAACAAGCCTTTAAAACTATGTGATTATTGTAACTATGTATATTTTATTTTTAAATTTTTAACCTGCAATTTTTCAGATATACCTGAAAGTAAAGAAAATAGCACAATAAATGCTCTTTGCACATCTCCCAAATTCAACTACTGTTAAGATTTTGGTTTTTGATACAGTGTTTTGAAATAAACCATAGTCAGGTCCTTTCACTTACATGTACTTTCATATGCAACTCTAAAAACTGTGGACTTCCTTTAATATAAACACAACCCTGGGGCTGGGGTTGTGGCTCAGTGGTAGAGTGCTTGCCTTGCATGTATGGGGCACTGGGTTTGATCCTCAGCACCACATAAATAAATAAAATAAAGGTGTTGTGTCCTACAACTAAAAAAAAAAATTAAAAAAAAAAAACAAAAAACACAACCCTGTAGCATACCTAACAATGGACGCTAATGCCATGGTGCCATCCAGAACCCATAACACATTTCCCTGAGTATCTCCAATGGACTTGTCCAAATTGAAATGAAAAAAAAAAAAAAAAAATACACACGTTACTTTGGGTTTTTATGGCTCCTAACTATCTGGTAAAAAGTTCCTTTCTAAGGTTTAAGAGGCAAACATTATCTGAAATGCAGAGAAGGAATTATGAGTACAGTATGCCAGCACTCATATTCTGGTGGGGGTGAGAGCAAGCATGGGGGGAAAATGAATGGAAAAAGATCAGAAGGAAATAAAACAGAATGCCAACTGTGGTTGTGTTTGGGTAGTAAAACTATGAGTAATTTTTTCTACTTTTTTGTATTTTCTAATGTTTTTTGAAAACATGTATAACTTTTATATTTTTATAAATGCTTATTTTTGCAAAAGTTTAACTAAATAGAAAATAAAAGCCTGTAGAAGAAAACTAACTTGAGTCAACAGAGAAGAACGTTGAATCTGAATTATGCCTGCCAGGATCAGACCCGAGAAATAAAAACTGCCTGATCTAATGTGCTTCTAAAATATGAGGGTCATAAAAGAAGCACTAGAAAGCGGCAAACCCTGACACACAGTTGCCCTTTGGGGTTTCTGTTCGAGGCAGTGCCGGGTGCTTAGGGCTTCTGCTCTTCACAAGGTGCTGCAGGGCAGGTGAAAGCATGGGGCCAGGAAAGGTGCTGGGCCTCTGTCTAACCACACAAGATAGGAAGGACCAGGGTTGGAACTAAGGACAGAGACTAGCAGGGCAAGGCCCACTGTGGTTATCCAAATACCCTACCCAGAGACCAGGGGACCACATGAGAGGTAGACCGGTTGGTTAGTCCTGAGTATCTCTTACCTGCAGTAGGGGCCCATAATGAAAGGTCTGATTCCACATTTGTATCCAAGGAATGCTTGTTTAAGATGCTAGTAAGCAAAGCCTGAGTTAAGCTAGAGGGGCACAGATTCAGAATCAGATGAGAGATCAGGGTGCCAGAGGAGGCCCTGAGGGCAGCCCTGCATCAAGAACCCAAATGAATAAAGAGGAAGGAACTCAAAGCCTGTGTGGCCAGAGCCAGGAGGCTGGGTTTGCTTATAGTCTCTTTTAGCAAAAGGGCTTGGGCTTTGTTAGAAGGAGCCAGAGCAGGGCCAGCAGCATTGTGTCCCCACTCCTCCCACATGGCTGCCACTTTTACCTGGTGCCAAAGTGAAGGTTTTCCTTAGGCTACTGGCCTGCCTTACTCTCTGGGGTAGGCGTGGTCCACCATTGGAAGGCTACTACTTTTTTTTTTTTTTTTTTTTAACACCCACAAGAAAATCTTGGATAGTTTTGCTTTCATCAAGCCAGTGCCCCAATGTTTAGGTCAATAAATGTTTAAGAATCTATTTTTAGCATATTTTTCATGTGTTT